GCCCTTGCGCAGCGTCTGGCCCTGCGACAGCGTGGAGGTCAGGTAGGACGCGTGCGTCAGTGTGAATCCCGAGCGGCGCACAGCGTGCGCCCCCGAGCTTTGCCACGTGAGTTCCTACTCGCTGGGCCTGAACATGAGCAAGCTCCTCGCCCGCGCTTCGGCCTCGCCGTCGTCGGCAGCGCCATCGGCGCCCTGCTGCAGCACCTCGGCGACCTCCTTGTAGATCGGGGACTCCTGGAAGCCGTGCACCTGCAGCCAGATTCCCTGCGGTAGGTAGCGGGGGCGGAAGAGCTGGCCCGGCGCGCACTCCTCGTAGTCCCGCTCGTCGTCTGCGTGAAACCCGAAGGACACGATGGTGGCCCGTTGCTCCTGCACGAGCCCCAACTTCTTCTTCAGCTCCTCCTGCACGGCCGTGAACCAGACCTCCATGCCGACGCGTGCCGGGAAGACGCCGTGGATGCATGTCCCCCGTCTTGTGCATGTTCGGGACGTTCAGGAGGCGCCGGCCTGCGTTTGGGTCGCTTTGAATCGTGCCGCACTCGTCCACGGCCTGCAGGAAGACGAGGGGGACGCCGAGGCGCCGCGCGTCGCGACGAGCGCGCGTGTTGATCCACCTCGCCAGCGTCTCCCAGTAGATGCCCATGCCGTAGCCGAGCCGGAAATTCTCGTGCTGGTGCCATGGGTCCAGGACGCCGTGGTTGTCAGAGGCCAACGCCTTCTCCCAGGCAGACCAGACCTCTGGTGGGAAGCGCTTGCCCTCGCGCGTGCAGCCCAAGAACGCGATCAGAGGGTCCCCCGGCTCGAAGCGCTTCGTGCCCTTCAGCTCGAAGACGCAGGGGATCTGAGAGAATACCCTGATGGCGTGCTGGATCTCCACCGTCGGCGGCTCCGCGTACTTGTACGACCCGTCTTCCAGGAGCTCGTTCACGTCCGTCAGGAGCCCGATGCTGCCGGTGGGCTTCAGCTGCAGGAAATCCCCGAGGTGCAACACGATGGGGACGCGGCCGAAGTGGTGGTGCGGCCTCTTGTAGGTGGACTCCTGCACGTCGTGCGTGTCACTGCGCCCGTGGCAGGCGCGAAGGTCCAGCGCGTTGTACAGAGCAGCTGCCACCATGCTTACCTCCTCGATGACCAGGACGCGGGCGTGCTCCCACAACCACTGCAACCTCTTCTGCATGCCCGCCGGTCTCATCTTCGCGTTGATGTACTTCTGGACTCGCAGGGCACAGGCGTTGTGCAGCGTTCTGGCTTTCACCGTCTCCGTGGAGATGTTCTTCGCCTGCGCGTTCGAGAAGGCCACGACCATCATGGCGCCCTTGTCCTGCGCCGACGAGGGCCACAAATACTCCACCACTGGGAAGACGATCTTCTGAACCACGTGCGTCTTCCCCGAGCCGCCCTGGCCCAACAGCAGCAAGTGCGTTACTTTTCTCTCGCTCCAGGGCTTCTTCTGCACGTCGTCCTCCCAGGCGTCGTCGCAGGCCTTGGCGAACTTGGCGACGAAGAGCGTCTGGTCCCGCGTGAGTCTCTCGTTCTCTGGCAACCCAGCGACCAGGCCCGCGATGTACGCGCTGGGCGTTGAGCACACGCTGTTGGCAAAACTGGCCGCAGCGGGGTCGCCGCCCAGGCCGCCTGCGCCCTCGTCCTCGCCGTCCGGAGCGCCTGCATCGTCCTCGTCGCGATTGCCCTGGAGGCGTTCGTCGTGCAGGTTTGCCCAGGCGTGTCTCTCCTCGCGCGCTGCGGTCACCAGAGGTCGGTACCCGGTCGCGGGCGTGGGAGTGGTCGCGGCCTCCGTCGGCTCGGGCGCACCCGCGCCCTCGCGGGCCGCTTCGGACATGCACGGGAGCGCGAGGAGGGGGGCTCCGGCCTGAGACTTCCTCACAATTCACTCACAGACGAGGCTCCCGCTCGAGATTTCCTCCATATTCAGGTCTCAAGAGCCCAAAAGTGACGACAGTTGCACGTTGCGGATGACCCGCTCGGATTCGAACATGAAGCGCGGGCCCCATAGGGAGGGGGCTCCCGCCTGAGACTTCCTCATAATTCACTCACAGACGAGGCTCCCGCCTGATGCTTCCTCCATATTCAGGCCTCAAGAGCCCAAAAGTGACGACAGTTACACGTTTCGGATGACCCGCTCGGATTCGAACATCATGTGAGAGACGATGAGACGTCCTCCATATTCAGGTTCAAGAGCCCAAAAGTGACGACAGTTGCACGGATGACCCGCTCGGATTCGAACATGAAGTGCGGGCCCCATAGGGAGGGGGCTCCCGCCTGAGACTTCCTCGCAATTCACTCACAGACGAGGCTCCCGCTCGAGACTTCCTCCATATTCAGGTCTCAAGAGCCCAAAAGTGACGACAGTTGCACGTTGCGGATGACCCGCTCGGATTCGAACATGAAGCGCGGGCCCCATAGGGAGGGGGCTCCCGCCTGAGACTTCCTCGCAATTCACTCACAGACGAGGCTCCCGCTCGAGACTTCCTCCATATTCAGGTCTCAAGAGCCCAAAAGTGAGGACAGTTGCACGTTGCGGATGACCCGCTCGGATTCGAACATGAAGCGCGGGCCCCATAGGGAGGGGGCTCCCGCCTGAGACTTCCTCACAATTCACTCACAGACGAGGCTCCCGCCTGATGCTTCCTCCATATTCAGGCCTCAAGTCAGCGAGTGACGATGATGATGATGATGATGATGATGATGATGATGATGATGATGATGATGATGATGATGATGATGATGATGATGATGATGATGATGGATGATGGTGATGATGTGATGATGATGATGATGATGCTGATGATGATGATGATGATGATGATGAGTGGGGAGTGATGGTGATGGTGATGATGATGCGGAGGAGGAAGCAAAGAGGAGCAGAGGAGAGGGAGGAGGAGGAGGAGGAGGAGAGATCCTGCGCGGAGGGTGTGCAGAGAAAACAAGAACCCCACTTAGGATGTGGGGAAAAACAACGGTGAGTTCATGCATAAATGTATTCATACATTGATCATGTTTTAACAATCGTATGTTTTTCAAAGTCCCATGCATTGAAACCTGCCCTGGAAGCAGGTGCCCTGGGCCTGTGTTCCTCCCGTGTCCTTCCCGTGCCACCCCCGCGTTGCGCGAGCACGCCGGCTCGCGCTGCCGGCGCTGCTGCCAGGACAGGCACTCCAGGCGCGCCGGCTCGCGGGCCTCGCGCATGGCAGTCGGCACGCAGCGCTTCCCAGGCGTGCCGGTTCACTTTTGGCGCACGTCGCATGGGCCACTGCTGCCAAGCCAGCAGGCTCAGTCCGAGCGTGTCCGTTCGCTTCCAGCACGCATGTGCCGCATTGCTCAGAAGGGTTCTTCCAGGGGGGTGGCCGGGGTGTAGGTATTCCTGGCACAAAGTACATATGCATGACATGTTGGAGGACGCCGGAAGGGAAGATATGGAGCTAGCAGGCCCGAAAAGAACGCATTGGTAGCGCAGGTTGGCTTCAACCCCACGAGGCATTATAGCATGAATACGTTAGGTCGTAACGACGCCTTGGCATGCGTTAGAACCTACGCGCGCGATGCCATGTTCTCTCAATATGTTTCCATATTATATCGATATGTCTATAGATCCATCTGTACATGTATTAGCGAGTGTTTTCACCCAGCGCTCTGCTTCAGATTGCTTGCTTAGGATTCGCATTTCCCCTCTTGCTCCGCTCCTCTTTGCTCCCCCCTCCGTTGACTACGCCTCCAGCGTGATAGAAATCCAGGTGTTTCTCCTATCATGCGTTACCTTACACTTGTCGTACGCCTGACTACTGCTGCCGTGCACACGTGGGCCATTTCAAGCTTGAGTGGTGCGATTCATCCTCACTGGCCACGATCGTACGCGCAACCTTGCTTGCTGCTCCTCCTCTGCCTTCTCTCCTGCTTCTCGTTCCTTGTTACAGGACTGGTACCATACTCGGCCGTCGCTGACGGCAGGGGGATCTTCACGCCTGCGGGGTCGCATGTAAGGAGCCTTGTGTCCTTGCGCTGGATGTAAAAAAACGTGCTATCTATTCACATTTCGATCCTGCAACAACCTCCAGGAAATCAATGGTGTTCACCTCCTCTGGCTCTCCTGGAGGGCATTTGGGAGCCCTCTTGGGCCGTCTCGAGGCCCGCGGAGCAACCAGCCCGGGCACCAGACTGTTGCAGAATTCGTGCCTGCACCGCCGGAGCACTCACTGGTATAAGGATGACACCGAAAGTGGCGGCCTGCAGCTGGCGGATTTCGAGGGCGTGCTTCAAGGTGAGCTGCGACATAACAGCCGGCAAGCGTAGCACGAGGTCGTCGTGCGAGTCACCTGCGGATACGCCGCGAATCGTGGTTGCGACGCCATAGGCGCTCCTGCTTGAGGAAACCCTCCATGCCCGCGCCTTGGCCCAGGACTCGGCAAAAAAGGCTGCGCGCTGCGACGTGGCACAGCCAGTGCTGGAAGGCCCAGCGGCTCAAGACGGCGACGGGGACGAGAACAAGGACGCAGAGGAAATAGGAAGAGATATACGAGAGCGAGGAGGAGTAGGGGGGAGAGGTTGGGAGGGGCGGAGGAGGAGGAGCAGCAGCAGGAGGAGGTCAGGATGAGGAGGAAGGAGGGAGGAGGACGACGAGGGGTAGGAGGAAGAGGAGGACGATGACGACGAGGAGGACAGCAGAGGAATGAATTGGAGGAGAGGGAAAAGGAAGAGGGGGATGAGTAGGAAGGGGGAGCACAGGACGAGGTGGAGAAAGACAACACTTCAAGATGAGGAGCGAGGACTGAGTCGAGGAGGAGGGGGGAATTGGCACGCATCCTCTCCTTTCAATATCTCCGCCCTCCTCCGTACGTACTCTTCACCCTTGTCCATCACTATTCCTTTATCCTTCACCTCCCCCTCCAATCCCCCCCCTCCCCTCATCCACCCCCGTCACCCGCCTTGTCTCCTTCAACGTCCATCCTTCATCATCTCCTCTTCGCTTCCTCCACCGGCGCCGCAAGGTGGTGCTGAAGGACGACGGCCAGGTGTTCTACATCAAGGCGAAGAACCTGCAGCCGCTGAGGCCGCACAAGATCTGCCTGCCCGAGGTCGGCGAGGACAGCGAAGCTGCCGCAGGCGAGCCCTCCGACGTGACCGCCGAGGCCCGGGCGCTGGCGAGCGCCTGGGACGCCCTGGAGGCCCGGCGGGCCGCGTGGCAGGAGGCCCAGGAGACGCGCGAGATCGAGGCGCTCGAGCGGCAGGAGCTGCTGCTGCGCGCCCAGGAGCTCCTGCAGTGGGAGCTGGAGCGGGCCTGGCGGCAGCGCCGCGCGCTCGCCCTCGAGCGCGCCAGGGACCTCGCCCTCCTCGAGCAGCAGGACCGGCGCCCGGCCGGCGCGCCGAGGTCCTTCCACATAGGCTCCGAGCCCTGCGGCGAGGAGGGGCAGGAGGCGGAGGGCGGCCCAGGCATGTACAGGGTGCTGGACGAGACGCTGGTGGGCGACGGGCCGAACCTGGACAGCAGCGACATCGGCGCCGTGCAGGAGGGGGACGTGGTCGAGGTGCTGGAGGTGCTGGAGGTGACGGAGGACGAGCGCGTGAGGGCAAGAATCCGCTTCGAGGACCACGAGTCGGGGAGCGCGTGGATGTCGCTGTGGTCCACGGACGGTGGCATAGTCTGGGCCGAGAAGATCGACCCAGAGGTTCCAGATGACGTCTGGGAGTCAGATTGGGTATCCCTGTCGACTCCCACAGCGCAGTCACGAACGACCGCGCTGTTCGCAGTTGGCACACCGGTGCAGTACTTCAGCGCGTCCAAGGGCCATTGGGTCCAGGGTACGGTCCAGCAGGTCAGTTGCATCGGCGAGGTGCGGGTTTCGTGCAAGCCCAAGTCCTGGATACCCCTCGAGAAGCAGTACACGATGCTCCGATTGACCCCGTGCGTCCAGGCTAGTTAGGAAGCCGGGTGAGAATACTGGCAGACAGGGGGAGAGTGGAAGAATGACGACGAGGAGCAGGAGGATGAGCAGGAGGAGGAACGAAGGCGGAAGCTACGGGGTATTTGAATCGTCTCGAATCAGAACAATGAATCAATTCTAATGCACATAGCTTTTAATAATGGGCCAGATCGCACCTGCAACCCATCCATACCAATCTCGTTCCGTGCACTGATACACTCACTGCGAAACCTCGACTACACATATCAATATACACATACATACATACATACATACATACATACATACATACATACATACATACATATTGAATTTCTGACCTTCGCCGTACTTTTTGGTTTCTCGATTCGCAATATATGATCGTGTTGGGACGGCTATGGCGCGCGGTCGTTTGTGAGTTCCGAGGTCAGAGCTACTGGGGCCTCTCGAGAGGCCTGCTGGGGCCTGTTACTGCAGTGTGATTATGGTTTTCATTGAGGTGGCCACTGTTCGAATTGAATTAATCGAACTCTGGCTGTGACCAGAACTGGCCTGGGCCAAAGCAATTGGGTGCGCCATCGGATCAGTATTATTCATTTCAGAATACAACTACGACTTAACCAGTAGTGGTGTTGGTCTTGGCTGGGGCGGAAGTACATTAATACCGAGCCACAACTATGACCATGACCAGTCATAGTTCTAGTCCAGGTCAGGTCGCAGTATGCGAATGCTTAAAGGGGTGAGAGCAGAAGTGTGACCAAGACCAGTCTTGGTCACAGTTGAGACTCCGGTTGTATTCCGACAGAGACCAAGATTCCGCACCGTGACCAAGACCAGTCCTGGTCACCGTTGTGGTTCAGGTTGCATTAATACGATCACTATATCATGCACGCCAACCGACCCAAAGCAGAACCGTGACCAGGACCAGTCCTGGTCACAATTGTGGTTCAAGCGCGAGAAGCCGCACTCTGGCAGCCCGCGCAGGGCGCGCTCCGGCGCACGCCGTTTCACCGTTCACCGTTCACAGGTTGCATCAGTGTTACGACTACGACATTAGTGCCAATCGACAGAACATGAACAGTGACCAGAACCAGTCCTGGTCACAGTTGTGGTTCGAGTTGCATGTATCTGTTGTTATATATATATTTATTTATTCATGCCCATCGACCGATACCAGAGCCGTGAGCAGGACCCGTCCTGGTGAGAGTTGCGGTTCGGCTTTCAATAAATTGTGTAATAATATGAAAGCGACTCGACCGAAACCAGACCCGTGACCAGAACCAGTCCTGGTCCGAGGTGTGGTCCGGGTTGCATCAATATCATGAAAAAATGCGAATGCCAATCGACCGAATGCAGAAGCGTGACCACGACCAGTATTGGTCAAAATTGTTGCTCGGTTTGCAATATCATTTATAACGCCAATCAACCGAAACTACATCCGTGACCAGGACCATGCCATGGTCACAGTTGCAAGTTCCGGGTTGCATATGAACACTATCTAGATATTATTGCTGGCAGTCGACCCAAACCAGAACCGCGACCAGGACCAGTCCTGGTCACGGTTGTGGTTCGGGTTACTTTCATAGTACTGTAAGCACAGTAGTGCCAATCGACCGACAAGAAATCCATGATCAGCACCAGTTGTACAATCGTGGTCCGGGCTGCATCAAGATTATTTTGATAATATCAATGCCGATCGACCGAAATCAGAATTGTGACCACGACAAGTCCTGGTCAGAGTTGTGGTTCGTGCTGCACTAATACGATTATAGTATGAATTCCAATCGACCGAAACTACAAACGTGACCAGGACCAATATTAGTCAGAATTGTGGATCTGGCTGCATTCATACCGTGATGAGATTGCTCATGCCAATCGACCCGAAACAGAAGAGTAACCAGGACCAATCCTGGTCACAATTGTGGTCCGGAATTCAACGATCTTACGATCATTCGCTCACCATTCGCGGTTTTGGGCTCAAGTTTGTTCATATGTTGCCCAAGGTTGGCACGCAGCCCAGTTGGTTCATGGTCCAGTCCAGGCTCGTTCCCGCTGTGTATGTGGTTTTCTCGTGTCGCTTCCTCTTCCTCATCATCGCCCCCTTTCATCTTCCTTATCTGACACATCGTCATGATCACCATCATCAGTATCACCACAATCCACACCCCCGCGATGGTTTGCCACGGTATGCCTCCCCCCAGGGCGGATCGTGAGTTGGATGATAGGAAGAGGGGGAGGAGGAGGAGGAGGAGGAGGAGGAGGAGGAGGAGGAGGAGGAACAGGAGGAACAGGAGGAAGGGGGGGAGGAGAAGGAGGAGGATGAGGATTTTGACGACGACGACGACGACGCAAGGGGCGTAGGAGGATGGATGAGGGAGTACGGCGGGAGGAGGACGACGACGACGAGAACGGTGGGAGGCGGAGGAGGAGGAGCTGGATGTGGCCAGCCGTGCTTGCGAATGACCACGCCCGAAGATCGAAGCCCCTGCTGCGGCGAGCCGCGCATGTGAGCGGCCACTCCCGAAGCTCGAAGCTTCAGATGGGCATGCGAGCGGCCACACGCGAAGCTCGAAGCAGCGCGCCCCCCCCCCCCCACCCCACCGCCCTTCCCGCGAGCTCCGAGCCATTTTTGCCCGTGCCTCCCCTTTGGGGAGCGGCCCGGGCGTGGAGGGGCAAAGACCCCGCCCGCCCGCAGCGGGCCCAGGCGAGGGCTTCGGGACGAGAGCACCCGTCGCCGCACGCGGGCCCCCTCCACCGCTTCCCTCCTCCTGCTCCCATCATATGTTGTTGTTCATGTTCATGCCCATCCGTCTCCTCGGCAACGGCAAGTGATCCGGCCGAGACCTAGCCGGGGCTTCATCACGTTCGTGCACACGTGTCAAAGTAGCTCGTCTGAGGTCGTGAGGATACGTGTGTGCGTGTGTGCTTGCGCGCGCACAAGTGTGAGTGCAAGCGTCTGTCATCTTAAGAGAATGAAGTTGTGGTCGCCTGGGCATGAGATCGCACTAGCGGGCAGCGACTCAGCAGCATGTAACACCTTCACGGTTCACGCCACGCTGCCGTTGAATACATTATTCGGCGCTGTTCGTCACGCAACCTAATCCAGGCAGGATGGCCAGATAGAGGAAGTGCACGGGGTCTCCAATGTGCACATTCTTTCACTTCCTTCCCATCCAACGCCTCCTCCTCTCACACTCATCATCCCCATATCCCTAGTCATCGTATCCCCCCTCCTCGCACTCCTCTCATTGTTTCTCGCTTCCCTGTCCTCATCCTCCCCCTATCCTGATCATCCTCCTCTCACCCTCGTTGCTCCCCATTCCTGATCCTTGCAGGCGTGCCACTAATCATTCACATGCCTTGCTTTGTGTCTTCGGACAGGCCACAAGCAGCAATGTCACTGGCACTCCTGAGGTTGATGCAACTGAATTCCAGGCGCCCCTGCCGCCTGAGCCTAAACTCGGCCGCGACCTCCTGGGCTTAAGGCCCGGTACGTTTTCCTGCAGCCCCACCAAGCGCGTCGCGGCCCTAGCTGGCGGCTAAAGGCCAACAGCGCCATTGCGAATGCTCATTGGATGGACGCTGCGCCGACGCCAGATTCTCGCACTTGAATGAACAGCGGCTCCTCCTCCTCCTCCTCCTCCTCCTCCTCCTCCTGCTCCTCCGTCTCCTTTTCCTGCTCCCCCCTCCTCTTCCATGATCCTCCTGCTCCAGCTCCTCCCCCTCCTCCTCCTCCTCCTCCTCCTCCTCCTCCTCCTCCTCCTGATCATCATCATCATCATCCTCCGCCTCCTCCTCGTCCTTCGAGTCATCCTGGTCCTGCTTCTGCTGCTACCATTATCTCTTTCGCTCTCTGTCCTTCTTTTTCTAGAGAGAGATCCCTCTCTCGATATGTTGTTCTCTCTTTCTCTCTTTCTATCTCTCTCTTTCTCTTTCTCTCTCTCTCTCTCTCTCTCTCTCTCTCTTTCCCTCTCTCTCTCTGTCTTTCTCTCTCTCTCTCTCTCTCTGACACTCTCTCTCTCTCTCTCTCTCTCTCTCCCTCCCTCTCTCTCTGTCTCTCTTTATCTATCATTCGTTCTGTATATCTGTATGTGTGTATAGTTGTGTGTCCATGCCTTCTAGACCTACCTTTATGTGTATGTGTATGTGGCTTCCTATTCATACATGGATAGTCATAAACAGATGTGTGTACATGTGTTTGTACATGTCTATGTTTGTATACGTGTAAATACAGATAGATGTGTGCAAATATACCCAGATGCACACATACACGTGTAAATTCACATACACCTGTATACATACATACATACATACATACAGACAGACAGACAGACAGACAGACATATTAGCAAACAGATAAACATGCATACATTCAAACATACATACACATAGACATAAACATCGACAGGCAGACAATCAGGCAGACAAACAGGCATATATCTACATAATCACAGACAGACAGGCAGACAGGCAGGCAGACAAGCAGACATGTGTATATTCATATATATATATACATATGTAGACAGACAGAGACAGACAGGCATGTACGTACATACATGTGCATAACCATATATATGTGTGTATATGTATGTGTATATATATATATATATGTATCGAAGACGCCTACGGCGAATCACCGCCGTCCCTTGCCTGTTTGGAAGCGCATATGTGGCCGAACGTTGAGGCGCTATCGGACTATATGTTCCCCGAATCGGTTTGGAAAGCCTTCGGGGAACACGTGGGCATCTTGAAGGTCATCTTGAAGGTCATCTTGGCCGTCTGGAGGCCATTTGACCCTTTCGGGCCTTCTTGGAGGACGTCTTGGAGGGCTCTTTGGCCGTCTTGGAGGCCATCTTGAGCGTCTGGGAGGCCTCTTGGGCCGTCTTGGGGGCCTCTTGGGGCCGTCTTGGGCCTCTTGGGCGATCTTTGGGGGCGCTTGGGCCGTCTCGGGCCGTCGGACGGCCGAAAAAAAGCAAATACCACAATCCTTCAAAAACCCCTGGGAAATCAATGATTTAGGC